TTTTTTTTTTTTTTTTTTTTTTTTTGCGGTACACGGGCCTCTCACCGCTGTGGCCTCTCCCGCCGCGGAGCACAGGCTCCGGACGCGCAGGCTCAGCGGCCATGGCTCACGGGCCCAGCCGCTCCGCGGCATGTGGGATCTTCCCGGACCGGGGCATAAACCCGTGTCCCCCGCATCAGCAGGCAGACTCTCAACCACTGCGCCACCAGGGAAGCCCCTCATTTAACTCTTGAATAGTCCTGTTGAGTCGGTACCCTTCTCGCCATTTTATTATGGGAACTGAGGCTAAGCAGCTTGCCCAAGGCCACTAACAACTAACTGTAATTTCAAGAGCTTTTTTCGTAAGTACAGTTAGGAGGCCACAAGATGTCCTTTCCACGAGAATCTGGGATTGTACAAATGCTTTGTTTTAAATGTCACAGCCACAGTAAATATCTTTAAGTGAATAATCTCAGGTAAGACCATTTCCTTTCTAAGTCTTCTGACCTTTTCAGAAGTAAATGTGGTGACTCTTCTGCTTATATTATAAGGCTACACGTTCAATGGTTAAATGAATAAAATATGTTGAGTTTGTTGACCTATATGCTGTATGTGTGCATGAGTGTGTGTGTGTGTGTGTGTGTGTGTGTAGTGGAGAACAGGGAGGGGCAGATCTTAATCCTCTGGTAAAACTAAATGTGGTGCTGAGGATTTAGGGAAACGTAGTTTTGAGATTTGAGGCCCTTAAAGAGAGTACTAAAAAAAAAAAACAACAACCAGTACTTGTTAGAGATGGGAAGTTGTGGGAGGCAAATTGGTACTTTTTAGTTATGTAGATAAAGTAGAAAAGATTTCTCTTCCCTTTCCCATAGTTAAACAAGGACAAGTAGGTGGGTCATTCAACTTACCTTCATTTTCTCATTTTTGAGAGGGTTTAGCTGTCTATGAATTTGCACTAATTTTTCAATTAAACATGTAGGACAGTGTATTAAAAAATAATTTTACTTCATAGCAACCTTTATTTCCCCAGCAGTTACTCTTACAATAAAATTGTGGGTTTGTGTCCAAGCTCCCCTCTAATCGTAATGACATCGTAGATGCTTCAAAATGTCTTCTCTGAAAAATCCCCCCTACTCCCCAAATTATCCAACTCTTTATCTAAAAGAAGTGTTTCTGAAATAGCCAGGGACCCTCCAAGTACAGCAGAGATACAAACCCTTACCATTGAGAAGACAGCCCGTAAGCAGAATTCACTTAAGCTATTGCCTTAAATGATGATCAACGGAGAAAAGAGCAAGTACATTTTGAGAAATGAGGGGTCCTGTGTACAGCCCAGATTGAGAAAAACAATGATCATGAACTAGGTGAGGCAGTTGCTTTGCTTATAAAGGAAAGCTTGTTTCTTTTCTCTACCTTTGGCTTCTTCTTGGGTTGAGCAGCCTTTTCTGCTTCTCCTCTTGCATTGATTGCCTCATTGCCTTCAGCCCTCTGGAGCTTGGACTGAGGAGAGGAAGAGTCACAATAATAGAAACAAACTTTATGCAAACGTATTAAAAGTTGCTAAAATGGCCAAAAACGACATGCCGGGCTTGGGGGTGGGGCACTGAGCTGTTGCACTGGGCCTGGTATCAGAAAATAGAAACTACGGGCAATTGCAGCTGTGAAAAGACTGGTAAAGAAACAGGATGGCTGTGGTTTGCTGTAAGCATCAATTTTCCTGTTGAGCATTTTTACAGGAAGTTGAAGAACAAAGCCAACTTCATCTTAATTAGTTCTGATGGTTTGCAGATCTTAAACACATCCAACTAAGTTTGTCTCTTGGAGGAGTTTCTAAAGAATAGAACCCAAAATAATCATGAGTAGGAATCCCCAAACTACCAGTGTTAGCAGCAATTTGAGTTTTTGCTAAATGATTTTATTTTAACGGTATAACTTGGAGTAGATTCATTACCTTTATAATGAATGCCTTTGCAATCTTTTTTTTATGGCTGCAATAACTCGATATGAAGTTAAGGGCCTTTCCTTATTAAAACACTGTCGAGTTGTATGTATTATAAATTTCCTTCTGTTAATATTTATTGGTCAAACAGTTGTGCATGTGTGTATTTATATAGATACAAAGAGGTATGTGTATGTTTGTGTATAAAAGCTGGAAAAATATACATCAAAAAGTTAACAAGAATTATCTCTGGGTATTATCAACCCCAACCCTTTTTCACCTAATATTTAATTATTATCAAATGCTTCCTTCAGTGGTTAAATACAACTGTCGTGTTTTATTTTCATCTTTGTATTTTTATATTGTTTATAATTTTCTAAATGAATATATGCTACTTTTGGAAGCAGAAAAAAAATTCTCAAAAATCTAACCTGAAGACGCCAAGAGCACAGCAGATATATATACATGAAAAGGAGTTAAGAGCATTATATATAAAGTAAAATATCAAGGAATATAAATAAAAATAAGATAGAGAATAGAAAGTAATGAGGACAAGAGAACATTGGACGTTAGGATCTTTTCAGTTGTATTATTTCTATTATGTCCTTTCCCTGTACCCCCCCCAACACACACACACACACAGTGATGAATTCAACCTTTTCTGAACAAAAAGTTTACTTTTCTCCCATTCATTTTAGGTAGAATAGTATTTAAGGGTGACTTTTGGCAAGATTTGCATAGCAAAATGCTTTATATTTTTGAATGGTCCAAAATTGTGATAAAACATAACTGGATAAACCTGCTTCTTATCTTCTCTGCTAGAACTTGGCCGATTCACACCCACGTCTTCAGGATTAGAGGCCGGCCTTCTGAGGATTATTTCATTGGACAGTGCTGGAAATCTCTCCCCTCTTCCTGTCATTCTATAGTGTGGGCCTCACATGACATAATCTAGAATGAATTTGACATTGGTTGGAAGAAACTAAGAAACAGTTTATTTAAATAACTTGCCAGTTCTCTTGATCATTTTACATTCAGAGATAATTCTGCTTTCTTAGATGAGCATATTGAAGAAGAAAGCATAAGTTTCCTGGGGCAGCTCTGGACTGAACTCTGGGCTCTGACTGAGTGTCTAGTTGTACATGCTGTTGGGGGAATACGTCACAGTAGGGTGGGGAGCAATTCACTCTTTCTCACAAGGCGTTCCCCATAACCAGTATTACACATTTAGCAGATGGCTCAGGGCCACCAGCTACCCTGGTTGATCTAGGATCAGTGTGTGATGCTGTCCACTGTCCAGCATCATTAAATGATGCTGACGTACTAGAAGTGTAGTAAAACCAACAAAATCATCCATGTCTCTCACAGAACTAGGAAATTCCAGAATTTCTAAATATTGATGTATATTGTGTGCGTACATGTACGTGTGTGTAGGTGACAAAGAAGAGCCAATTAGTGGATTTTTAAAATTTATTAATTTATTTATTTATGTCTGTGTTGGGTCTTTGTTTCTGTGTGAGGGCTTTCTCTAGTTGTGGCAAGCGGGGGCCACTCTTCATCGCGGTGCGCGGGCCTCTCACTATCGCGGCCTCTCTTGTTGCGGAGCACAGGCTCCAGACGCGCAGGCTCAGTAGTTGTGGCTCACGGGCCCAGTTGCTCCGCGGCATGTGGGATCTTCCCAGACCAGGGCTCAAACCCGTGTCCCCTGCATTGGCAGGCAGATTCTCAACCACTGCACCACCAGGGAAGCCCCAATTAGTGGATTTTTGAAGTCATTTATGTAAAATATTCTACTCTGTTCTCTCAACCCAAAGAATCAATTCCATTATGAAAGGTTTATTGGTAGATCCCTCCCCTCATCTCAATAGTTTCCACCAAAAATTTGTTGATTTTTTTAGGGATTCAGTTATTAAATAAAACTTTGGTAATCACTCACGTTCCCTAGGGTTCAGGTTTTTTTTAATATATGTTTTATCTATTTATTTATCTATCTATCTACCTATTTATTTAGGCTGTGTCGGGTCTTAGTTGAGGCATGTGGGCTGTTCGTTGTGGCACGTCGATTTTCTCTTCTCTAGTTGTGGCGTGTGGGCTCCAGGGCATGTGGGTTCTGTAGTTTGCGGCATGCGGGTTCCAGTTGAGGCACGGGAGCTCAGTAGTTGTGGCATGCGGGCTTAGTTGGCCCGCAGCATGTGGGATCTTAGTTCCCCTACCAGGGATCGAACCCGCGTCCCCTGCATTGGAAGGCAGGTTCTTTACCACTGGACCACCAGGGAAGTCCCCCCTGACTTTTAATTTCTTTAATGTATGACAGACAATCCAGAGATAGTTTGGGTGAGAAATCAATTGATGGATTTTATTCAAAAGCTATTATCTTATAATTTTCACTGTGGAGAGCAGACATGATAGATAACATGTATTGTTAAAACTGTGTTTATCATTTGCTAGGGCTGCCATATCAAAGTACCACAGACTGGGTGGCTCGAACAGCAGAATTTTGTTATCTCACATTTCTGGGGGTCGGAAGTCAAAGATCAAGGTGTCGGTGAGAGCGCCCATCCGCAGATCCTCTCCCCGTTGTTTATCGGAGGGGACGGGGCAGGCCCAGCCTCTGTGCTCCAGAGGTTTATTTATAAGTCAGTTAATGCACAGAGAGAGCCATAATAGCAACGACAGAAAACTGTAAAATACTTAGATTAAAGAGGCCTTACAGGGTGGCAGTCCCCTGAGAGTGTCCCTGTTCCATCATCTGGCCCCTAAGGCGTACAGAAGTTCAATTTTATCTTTGCAACCAGAGACTGGTTTATGAGAACCAAACCCGTAAGAGGTTCCCGGTAGCTGATCAGAATCCACTTCTTCCTCCGTATTAGGATTAACAGGATGGCAGGTTAGCTGGTGAGCGTAGAACCTGACACAATGGAGTGTTGAGGGCCTTTCATGCACTGAGCACGTGGACAGTCTGTCCCATGGAGCCCATCTCTCGGGCCCTCTGGGTGGACCCGGCCACCCCTTACTTGGTTAGCTCACTCCTCAGCTGTTCAGACCATTGCTTTGGCCATAGCAGCTCTGACAGTTGGGCCTGAATCCCGTTTCAGATCCCCGTCCTTCCTCCTGGTCCTAGGACACAACCCTGAGGCTTCTGGAGGTGCCCCTGCAGCTGGAGCACCCCCTTCATAGGCCTCCAAACACAGGCCCCCCAGCCCTCCTTATTACACTGCCCGTGTAGCCCCACAGGGGACCGATTGGTGTCACCCAGAAAAGACCAATGTAAGGAACAGATTTTAAAAGAACCCCTGTCTGAGACAGGCTCTTATTGAAAACCGGATTCTGACCGAGTTTACAGGTGAGCTGCAGTACTAGTTAGCCCTTTACCTGCCTAAAAATGCTTATCTAAGAAGAGCAGGGATCAAAAGGACTTGATGTGAATGAGTTTCGCGGGTCTTTTAGCGAGTTATTAATTTCTCTGAGTCCCAGCGTCCTCCTCTGTAAAATGAGTGGAATTATGCTAGTTTGCAGTGTGGTCATAAGTATTCAAGACGACAGAAATAAAGTGCCCTTTATCATCCAATTGACTGTTAATAGATGAGAGCAGCTCTTGCTGCTCTAGAGTTTTTAAAATTTCATTTTCTAGATGGCACTCAGAATAGAACTGTCAGAAGCTCTCTTGATTCCTGTCTTCCAGTAGCTTTGACAAGTTTGGCCATGTCCTCTTAGCTTTTCCATTCCATTACTGTCACAGAAAGCAAGCCATCCAGCAAAACTTCTACAGAAAGTAACAGCTGACCCTTGAACAATGCGGGGGTTAGGGGCACCGACCCTCTGCACGCAGTCAGCCCTCTGTATCCACGGGTCCTCTGCACCCGGATTCCGCATCCTCGGATTCAACTACCCATGGATGGTATAGTACTATAATGTTTACTATTGAAAACAATCCACATCTAAGTGGACCCGTTGTTCAAGGGTCATCTGTATTTGTTTCAAGGTATAAGTTTTCCACGTTAACTTTCAGTGGTTGAACTAAGTTAATACTTAAAATTGTTTTTTCTTTTGGCCATGCCACGTGACTTGTGGGGTCTTGGTTTCCCGACCAGGGATCGAACCTGGGCCCCCGGCAGTGGAAGTGCAGAGTCCTAACCACTGGACCCCCAGGGAATTCCCTAATACTTTAAATTCTAAGAGGTTGTTTTCTGCAATTAAGAGACTATTGAAAATAAAAGATAATTCTGAGGTTTGAAATTCAGGACACATGTTCCACAGAAACAATGTTATTCAGGTGGTCAGTGTTCCAGGCTGCTCACTTGGTTTAAGGCTCTACCACCAGGCTTCTCAAATGCATGTGAATCACCCAGGGATCTTGTGAAAATGCTGAAACAAATGCAGTGCAGGCAGAGGGACTGAGATTTGATGTTTCTAACAGCTCTGGGTGATGCCCCGCTGCCAATCCGGGAGCGCTGCTGATCCAGGAGTGGCAAGATCTGGGTGGGAGAAGCTGGGATACGGAGGGGTGAGCACGTGGGTGAGGGCTGCAGCCTGGGGCTTCTGCTTAGACCCAGGGATGGGACTCCGAGGACTGAGGGAAAGGGAGACAGGGTTCATTGCTGGCACAACTCTGGGGGCACGTCCTCGCCATTGTTTCTTCAGCCCCTGATGTTTGCCAGGCTGCCCCCTTCGCCGCTGCTACCCACCAGGGCTTCCCTGCGCTGTCTCACCGCCACGGAGTCTGGCCTTCCCTTTGTCCCCAGAGCAATCAGACTCTGCAGAAAGCCTTTCTAAGGAAGCCTATTAGTAGTAAACAGCCCAGAGTCAGAGGTTTGATTCCTCCTCTCTTTTTTCACCTCTTTTTTCCCGCTTGGATCCTGTAAGGAAATGCCAAGTAGCATAGAGGTAGGAATCCAGCCTCCTTGCCCATCTTATCTTCCCGTATTCCCATCTCCTTTCCCCGGAGGACTGTAAGAACTTTGAGGGCAAGTATAGAAATATAGATTCATCTTTGCATTCCTGGGTGCTACCCAGACCTAGACAAATGTCAGGAATCTCAGAGAAGAAAAGCAGCGGAGTAGAGAAGAAACGTCAGGAATGTTGGAGAAGAAAAGCGCGGGCACGGAGTGGGCGGGAGAACGGGAGAGGGCTGCGCCATGGAGATGAGTGAAGAGGAGCCACTTGAACATCGGACTCGGCCAGGATACATTTCTAGCCGTTTCCTAATAACCTCCCAGCTTACTCGGGCGGCAGGCCAGGGTCCTTCCCCCAACCTGCTTTGGTGGTGGTGGGATTGAGCAGCATGAGGCACTGAGTTTTGCTTCCAGTATCTCCAGGCACTTTGGCTGAGAAGCCTTCCCCGCTGACCTCCTTCCAGAATAGTAACATCCTAGCCATGCCGTAAAGCAATTCCACCTCTTATAAAAGGTGGGCTTCGTGAATAGCTGCCACTTTGACGGGAAAGCGGGAAGGAAGATTAGGATGGAGTATTACTAAGAAGTCTAATACGTGATGGTGCTTTGTTTCTTTTTGTTTTTACAGATTTGTCAGCCAGACTGCTGAAAGCGTAACTATCCAGGATGCCCGTACCGCCCCCTCCAGCACCCCCGCCACCGCCCACGTTTTCTCTGGTGAGTGATTCTCCCCATCCATGGCCCACGCACGAAGCAAGCTAAACAAACTTGAACCTGGCACACGTGTATTTGTTTTCAGTGTATTCACATTCTGGCTTAAATATGAATGAAATGGTAAGCTTTCCAGGTGCTGGAGTAAATAAGCCAGAGCCTAAGATGCAGCAGATAACAATACGAAAATGTTTTGTAGTCTAAGGTCTCATGTGATGCATAGGACACGCATGGAATGTGGATTAGTTAGGTTTCCTCTGCCTCGTCCATCAAGGAGACACGTCCTGTTCATTTGAACATGCTGGCCCAAGATGGTTGGCAGGAGCGGTTCTGCCCAGCCTGCACTGTTTTCAGCTTCTAGCCTTTAACATCTGGTCAGGATAGTCCAGAGACCCAGTCTGCCTGTCTGAAAATGCATCCATTAAAGTGTCCTCCAGACTCACTTTCTTTTTCTCTGCCTTTCGCCATCTTTCTTCCCACTCTGTTTTTGACAAATAACCCCCATCTTCCACTCCCCCCTCCCCCCCCACTTACTTCGCCCTTTAAATCCATCCTCGCAGTTCCATGTGTACTTTCCTAAGGAACTTCTTCCCTGGGCTCATCCTGGCCCCCTGATGGACCCATCCTCAGAAGTTAGTGCACCCTCTTCCAGGAAGCCAGCAGCCCTCCCTGCAGTGATACGGAAGGTCTCCCAGATGCACCCCCCCCAGTATGTGAGGCCTTCGCTGCTAAGGAGCCTCCCAGTGATGGGCCCTTCACTTTTCACTTGAGGAAACTGGAGCTCAGAGAGGAAAAGTCTCTTGCCTAGGCTTCCATGGTACACATTTTTTATAACCCAGCTAAGGCTGGAACCTAGCTGGAAGAAGAGACCATTGATTAGCTCATTGCTATTCCAAGTGTGATCCTCCAACTCCTGGATAGAGTCCCCAAAAAATAAGTACAGAAATTTAGAGTAAGCGCTTAGAAACACTTATAGCAATCTGATAGTGGTGTTATGTCTATTGTTTCTAAGATTGTATTTTGTGTGTCTTTTTTAAACTGATCCATTTTTCTAATAAGTCATTGTTATTTTACAAAATATCGGTCCATGACGGATTGGAAATTTTTTTCTTAAAAATTCGTCCTTCCCGGGCTTCCCTGGTGGCGCAGTGGTTGGGAGTCCGCCTGCCGATTCCGGGGACACGGGTTCATGCCCCTGTCCGGGAGGATCCCACATGCCGCGGAGCAGCTGGGCCCGTGAGCCATGGCCGCTGAGCCTGCGCGTCCGGACCCTGTGCTCCGCAACGGGAGAGGCCACAGCAGTGAGAGGCCCGCGTACCGCAAAAAAAAAAAAAAAAAAAAAAAATTCGTCGTTCCCTTAGATAAGTTTGAAAAGCTGTGATCTGGCTAACATAGAAGGACTAGTTTATATTTCCCCAAAAGTATAGGTTTTGCACCACCGCTGAGTCGTATGTGCCTTGATTTTTTTTTTTAATTTTAATGCTCATGTTTAATATGTATTCTAAAAGTTATAATTGGCACACCCAGGGTTTAATAGTGAGTTAATTTAAAAGAAATGTTCATTGAGAAATAGTATAGTAAATAATATAGTGAATTAACTTAATGAAAAATATTAAATAATAACACAGGTAGCATGAGAAGATGACAAAAGTCACAAAAGTTGTACCAGAATGGTTGAAGTTTGGGACACCCTGGTTTATCCTATCCACTCATTTCTATCCATTATTCCCTGACTAAAAGCAAGATCCTAGAGAGACAGGATCTAGAGATGAGAAAAGGGAAATGTTGGTGGCCATCGTAGGACACCATCCAGTGGAACAGCACAGTCAAGAGATAAGTCAGCACCCAAGGAGGTCAGGTGTCAAAATAAATTTTGAGGCAGAACAGGAGGCCAGGGAGGGTTGCTGATCCAAAACCATGAAGAGAACCAACGTGGACATGGCACTTAACCTCTAGACGCCTCAGGTTTTTTCATCCTTAAAACGAAGACAATAGGTAATTCAAAAAGCTCTTTCTAAGATGTCCAAGGCATGTTGTTAAGTTATAAAAACAAGTTTCAGAGCAATAGAGGATGATCCCATTAGCAAAAGCAAACTGTATATGCAAAGAGCCTTTCTGGAACTGACTGCCAAGAAGCTCTTAACAGGCTTGCTTCAGAGGAGGGTTGGAGGCCAGTGGGGAAAGGGCATTTTATTTATTAATTTTTTTTCAACTGAGATATAATTGACATATAACATTGTATAAATTTAAGGTGGACAGCACATTGATTTGATACATTTATGTATTATAATTACCACCATAGTTTTAGCTAACGCCTCTATCACATCACATAATTATCATTTCTTTTTTGTGGTGAGAACATCTAAGTTCTGGTCTCTTAACAGCTTTGAAGTATATAATACAGCATTGTTAACTATAATCACTATGCTGTACATTAGATTTCCAGAACTTATTCATGTTTTAGTTGCAAGTTTGTACTCTTTTAACACCTCCCCATTTCCGGGGAAGGGCATTCTAGACCCCGCGTTTATCCTTCTGTCAGGTTATAGGGAAGGCTCCGGAGTCAGGCTGCCAGGCTTTGAATCCGAGCTCCTCCTCTTACCAGCTGGGTAACTGGGTTGATGATTTAACTTCCCTGTGCCTCAGTTTCCTTGACTCTAAAATGAAAGTCATGACTCAAAGGGTTGATGAATTAGTATACTTAAAATGCTAAAAATGGTGCCTGACCCATAGTAAAAGCTATATAAATGTTAGCTGTTATTATCGTGAGCAAGTACTACTTTGTAATTTAATTAAGACCCTTTCAGTTTCATACACAGAGATTCTGTTTAGCCTGCTTCAGGGTTTTTCTTAGCTCTCCCTCTGCCTCTAATAAATAGCTGGGTCAGGTATCAAGCTAAACTTGCCCAGGTTTACTCCTTGTAGCCCTTGCTGGCATCTGTGAAATCAGAGCCTTTCAGAAGGGCTGGGGCGAGCCTCAAAGGACTCTCACGGCTGCCAGAAGTACCACTGGGTTTGGGGAAGACGACTCTCCCCAGGACCAGGCCAGACCAAGCCAGTTTCCAAGTGTGACAGACACAGGTACACGCCTACTTCCGAGTCCATTTGCTGGCGTCTTAGTGTTCCCACTCCCTAAAAGAACCCTGAAAAAACAAAATCCCAATTTCACAGTAAGAATCTTTCCCAGGAATTCTGAAATTATAGAAAATACCCAAAGGTTTTATTTATTTTTTTATTTTTTGGCTGCTCATCGCAGCTTGTGGGATCTTAGTTCCCCGACCAGGGATCAACCCCACACCCCTGCAGTGGAAGCACGGAGTCTTGACCACTGGACCGCCAGGGAAGTCCCCCCAAAGGTTTTAAAGCAGCACCATTGTCAGCTGTGCAGTCTCTGTGGGCTAAGCTTTCAAAGGGATTAGGGAACTATGTTCAATATCCTGTAATAAACCATAATGGAAAAGAATTTAAAAATAAAAAAAAATTTTAAAGGGATTAAACATCAGGAACACCTTAGCCCAGAGGAACATGAAGGGAGTTGGGGGGTAATGGAAATGTTGTATATCTTGATTGTGGCGGTGGCTACACGATTGTATATGTTTGTCAGAATTCACAGGACTGTACACTAAAAGGGTGATTTTACTATTTGTAAATTATACCTCCAATCTGCCTTAAATTAAAAAGAAAAAAATCTCGTCAGTGTAACCAGAGGGAATTATTTTCTAAAATTTTGCTGGATTAAAAAAAAATACAGCTGACCCTTTTTGATAAAGACAATTTTCCTCTTGCACCAGGTTAGTTCCAAAAGACAAGAAAGAGATGTTCTTCAGAGAACATTCTAGAGGATGAAGCCTCACAGTATCCTGCAAATTCCTCTCAGATTTAAAATTCCCTGCTCGTTTCTAGCCATCCACCCCTTGCTCTGTTGGTTACGGCCAGATTGTGGTCTGAATTTTCAGAGACTTTTATCAGGGAGTGACTCTTCCTGCATTAAAAATGAATGTAATGTATTGCTGCATCTGCTCCCAAATGTCTGGGTCTTAAAAAGAGTGACATCGGGTCTAAAACTTGTAGAGAATTTACAGCCTATTGCCAAGAATCTTAATAACAAGCTCCCAATGCGCTAGCTGTCCCCACCGAGTGTTGTACTACATGATTTTAATTCAAAAGATGAATACGAGTTTGCATGTTTCCTTTCAGGCCAATACAGAAAAGCCTACCTTGAGTAAGTCAGAGCAGGCTGGAAGAAATGCTCTTCTCTCTGACATCAACAAAGGGAAGAAACTAAAGAAGACAGTCACCAATGACAGAAGTGCACCGATATTGGACAGTAAGTGAAAAAAGTTATTTTCCATGGAGATAAATGGTTTATGACCTAACAATCAACTCTACTCTTTCCACCAAAAAAAAAAAATTTTTTTTTTTTTTGGTTAACAACAGCTGCAAAGCTAGCAGAATAAGGGACTGTATCACTCATTGTAGGCCATGGCTCTGGCTTGGGTTCCCTCTAATGCTGCAGGAAGCCAGTATAATAATTCTTTGTCCAAGACACACACAGCAGCAATTCTCTGAATTATTCACAACTCTTTACAGCACTTTCTGGAAATTAACCCTTTGCTCATCTTACCACAGAGCAAAAGGCAGCATGAAATATGGAAAGAGCCCTAGTCTTGGGATCAAAGGATGTAGGTTCGAGCCCTGACCATCTCCAACCCTTTGTCTTCATTTGTAAAATGGAGATAATACCTGTTCTACTACCCTCACAAGTTTGTTGTGAGCATCAAATGAGACAATGCTTCTGAAAGTGTTTTGTTGCCTGGAATGTATAATTCAAGTGTAGCTATGATTATTAGGGGGTTAGAGAGAGAGGAAATGAGATCACAGCTTTGCTTATTGACCCATCATAAATCTGAGATACTTTCTGGAACAAGGCAGGGTATGTGTAAACAAACAAGTACCCACCATACAGGTGGGTACTTGTTAACATTTACAACAGAATGAAACATTACAGATGGCTAGAATCTACCGGAAGTTAATTATTGGGCCTCAAGACTATCATCTCACACTCCTCACACATTTCCACTGCCAGCCAGATGTGCCCAGAATTCATCCTCGACCACAGATGCCACTTGGACTCAACAGGAATTAGACTGTCCTAAACTCACCAGAGGGAGTTTGGAGACAAGTGAATAACGATGTAGGATTTTGGCCAAGTGGAGGAATTTCTAGGAAAAGTGCCTAACGAGTAGAAGAGAAAGATCAGCGTTAGGTGAGAACATTGGTGAGGGAGGAAGGTGGAAAAGAGGAAGACCAAGACAAAGGCCTTTGAGTTTTGCTCTGTTACCAGGCAAGGTGGTGCAGATGGAATGCACCACACCTCAGTGGAACTAGAGGGTCTTTGACTTTTGACGAAGTCTTACCTCTGGGTCAGAATGCCCACAAAATGGTGTGGTTATTGTATAGCCAATTGCTTAGTTTTCCTGATCTGTGTCACAAGGTTCTCCCTGGGGTTGCCCAGCCCAGTCGCTTCTTTCTGGGGAGCTCTGGTCCAATAGCCATTGAATCGTGGTGCCTGGGATGGGGCCAGAGGAACTCCACAAACTGCCAACCTCTAGACCAGAGCCCAGTGGTTCTCTCCACTACGAGAGGGAGCCTAGGCTCTGGAGAATTCCCTAGATGTTGAAGGAGAATGGACAGTCTGGGGCCTAGTCCTGAATCCACTAGTGGAAGTTCATTATATTCTTCAAGATACACTTCTCTCATTAAATGGAAAAGAGTGTTAGTTCTCCCTCCCATCTGCTCAGTGATGTTTAAGAATGCACTTTGCCTTGTGGACACCAGATGCAACCCAATGCATGCCCTTGTTGTCCATGAACTTAACTGGACGCTAACACTGTTGTTAGAAGCTCTTTGCAAGTGGCAAAGTCCATCCATGGCTTTGTATTTGTTTGCAGGTGAAACCTCCCTGGGTTCTATGTCAAAATGTTGACCATGGTTATGCAGGACATAACTCTTGAGGTCAGCTTTGTCCTCCAATTTAATTGTTAGCAGAGTGACCTAGAGCCAGTTAGCTGTCCTCAACTAGTGTAGCTTCTCTATCGGAAAGCTGTACAACTGTTGCAAGTTAAGAACACTAGTGGACGATGTCTGATAGAACAAGTTCATCGATCTCTTTGAATGTTCAATACCAGGTAAAGGTGTCCTATGAAATGCAGTATTGCAGAATGCATCGTTCATCAACCAATAACGTTTTAATGTCAAGGGCATTATTAATATTATTGGCAATAATTTAAATGAGTAAAACTTTTAAATTTTATATGGAAGCAATTTTGCATGCACTTCCAGAAATTGTTATTCTAATTTGATATATCGTACTAGGCAAAGTAATTCTTGTGAGTTCAGTATCAGATTGTTTCTTCTATCAGCAGAGTTCCCATAAGTATCCCAGAAAGTTCCACACCTAGAAAAGATACAGAGCTGACACAGACTTATGATCAATCTAACCCAGAAAAAAAGAAAACACAAATGAATAAATAGAGCTCAGAAAGCAGATTAAATAAAAGATTCAAAGCAGATTTTCTAAAATTAAGGATGCTACAATGAAGTTATTCTTAAAGAATTTAACTTTTTAAGAAAAGTACAAATTTACCAAAAATCATTCATGAAGCTTCAGTGAGCAAGGAAAAAGTTGAAAACTTTATCAAATTACTTTTTCTCTAAAAAGCTTTAGAGCCAGATGATTTTATCAGAAAATTATTTCAGATTTTAAGAAACAACAAATTCAAATGCTATATAAATCATTCCTAAATGCAGGAAGACATGGAAAGCTATCTGTTAGGTATAATGAGATTGGCATGATCTTAATATCAAAACATGACAAAGGCAGCATATATACAGAAAGAAAGCTGGTGTATCAGTGTCTCAGGGGACACGTGGCAATGCCTGGAGGCATTTTTATTTATCACAACTTGGTGAGGGAGGGTTCCTACTGACACCTAGTGGGTAGAGGCCAGGGATGCTGTAAACATTCTACAGGGAACAAGACGGTCACCCACAACAAAGAATTATCTGACCCCAAATGTCCATAGTTCCAAGGCTAAGAAACCCTACTATAGACCACTTATGATCACAGACGAGAGGATACTAACTAAAAATCCAAAAACTCTAATTCAATAGTATGTTAAAAAAATAATTCACCAAATCTAGAGTTTGTCTCATTTTTAATGTTAGAAAGTCTGTATATCCATCATATCAAATAAGGAAAACCATATAATGATCTCAGTAGATCCTGGATAGGCATTTGATAAAATTCCATGCCATAAGAAAGTCTTAAAAACCCAGAGTGGAAGGATCCTTGCTAACCACGAATACTTAGAAAAAAAAGTTATTTCAAACCAACAGTCAGTATGTAACTTGGGGGTTTCCCTGGTGGTGCAGTGGTTAAGAATCCGCCTGCCAATGCAGGGGACACGAAGTCGAGCCCTGATCCAGGAAGACCCCACATGCCGCCGAACAACTAAGCCCGTGCGCCACAACTACTGAGCCTGTGCTCCGCAACAAGAGAAGCCACCCCAATGAGAAGCCCGTGCACCACAACGAAGAGTAGCCCCCGCTCGCCACAACTAGAGAAAGTCCGCACACAGCAACAAAGACCCAATGCAGCCAAAAATAAACAAATAAATTTATTTTTTTAAAAATGTAACTTTGAAACATTAGAGGCATTCTCATTAAAATCAAAACATGATTTCCTTTATTTTTAAAATACTAATAACGTTAATAATTTATGTTTAAGATAAATATATAAATGTATATTCTTTATAATTATTTTAAAATAAATTGTCTTTAAATAAAACATTAATAACTTACACTGTTATGGAAGCTCAGTCATCAAAGTAATTTCTTATATAAAACAGAAATAAGATACACAACTCTTAGAAAAGAAGGCATACACCTTACCTTTATTATTTGCAGAGCATTTGTCTACTAGAAAATCCAAGGTAAAAAATAAATTTTAATTCTGAAAATGCAGGAAAGTGATTTATTAGATATCAAATGAAATTTCCTGATGCCAATAATAACCAAGTCCAAAATATAGTAGGAAAAACATTCCTTTCATAATTTCAACAAACAAAAATGTATTTGAAGTGACTCTAAAAGAACTATGGGTGACCCACATCATGAAAATTACAAAACTTTACTGAATAAATCAGAAGACATGGGAAAATATACCATGTTTCCATAAAGTCTAAATATCATGAAAGTGTCAGTTCTCCCAGATTAATTTGTAGATCTCGTGTAATACTTACCAAAGACTCAACAAGGTTTTCCAGGGGTAGAACTTTAAACAGTACTTAACCTCATAAAACATATATACATACATAAATTGTTAAGAGACAATTTTTTAAAGAGGGTATAATCATTGCTCTAATACAGATATAAAATAAACATATATCAAAGATTTTATTTAGCTCATTAATTAATGAGGGAACCAATATAATGTTATCAATTCAAAGGAGAATTCGAAGTACCACACATATGTAGGCAGGTGAGTGTTGAAATGAATTTACAAATAGGTGCAAAACAGGTCAATCAATTGCATGACACTGAACACAACCAATATGCATTTCTATGGACAATTATCATTTGCATTATTATCAGTTTTGTACAATTTGATAGAGTTGCAGACTAGCTCAAAGGCAATGGGAAATAACCCAGAAGGCTAGACTGGATACTTACTAATCTTTTTCTTTCTTCTTCTTCCTTTTTTTTCTTGTTTTCTTGTTTGCCTATTTTGAAATCTTTCACAGCTTTTTGGCAACAAATGCAAAATAAAACAAAATCTTTGCATCGTCTCAAGTTGCAAAGAATTTAAAAAATGTTAAAGTCTACTGTTGGGTTTTATGATATTAAAAAATTGAAATCAACCTGGAAGGCCATCAAATAGGTAGATGGATAAATAAATTACAGTACATTCAGTGTTCTAAAACACAATGCAATCCTTTAAACTCATGTTTTCAAAAAATATTTAGTGACATGGGAAATGCTAACAATAAAGTATTGACTGAAAAAAGCAGGCTGAAAACTATGTAGTGAATTTGGTCGTGAGAAAAAATATGTAAAATGAAAAAACAAAAAAAACCACCAAAACCTGGCAGGGAAAAATACACCAAAAAAGTGGGTATTTCAATGAAGCAAAATTATGGGATATTTTATTTTCTTCTCCTTTATTTTTACTGTTTCCTTTCTTCTCACCTTTTATTGCATCTCCTCCCTTAAGACTTTCTTTCTTTGAAAATACTTTTATTTACCAAATCCTATGATACACAATATATATTAACTCATGTGGCAGCCAGCCAAGCAGGGGAAAATCATTATCTATTACTGATTCTTCTACCTCTGGGCTTGCGACTGCCCTGGAGTAGAAATAACCCTCTGCTTTTCTGACGGAGGATAGGGTGAATCCTTAAAGTCCTACCCTTTAATGAAATTCCAGGTGTCCGCCATGGGCTTAGGTTCTGCCAGCTCCCTGTTGTATTGTGATTGTTTACTTGGGCGAGGACTGGTAAAGTTCTCTGGTGGTGTCTTCATACATGTGTAAAGGCTGTGTTTCCTTCCTTCTGCAGAACCTAAAGGAGCTGGTGGTGGTGGCGGAGGCGGCAGTGGGAGTTTTGGAGGGGGTGGACCACCCGGTTTGGGAGGACTGTTCCAGGCTGGGATGCCAAAGCTGAGATCCACAGCCAACAGGGAGAGTGGTAAGGAGAGTTTCCTTCCTTAGTTACTGAAGACCAGGCTGAGTCTGGCGGTTTTGAGACTTGGCATCCCCTCTAAGGCACTGTGCCCTGTGAAACATTTTAGATTTCTTGAAATGTTAACACTGTTTTATAAGAGGGAACACTGTTTTATAAGAGGGACTCAAGGGACTTTCCTGGTGGCGCGGTGGTTAAGAATCTGCCTGCCAACACAGGGGACACGGGTTCAAGCCCTGGTCCAGGAAGATCCCACATGCCACAGAGCAACTAAGCCTGTTCTCCACAACTACTGAGCCTGTGCTCTAGAGCCTGCGAGCCACAACTACTGAGCCCACGTGCCACAACTACTGAAGCCCGCACACCTAGAGCCTGTGCTCCGCAACAAGAGAAGCCGCTCTGCAATGAGAAGTTCGCGCACCACAACGAAGAGTAGCCCCCGCTCGCCGCAACTTAGAGGAAGCCTGCGCACAGCAACAAAGACCCAACGCCACCAAAAATAAATGAAATAATTTTTTTACAAAAAGAGGGACTCTATTTAGCATCTTTTTTTTTTCTTTCTTTTTCTTTTTAAATCAGGATCAGACAGCTCCATCGAGCTGTTAAATACTTGCCCAGTGTCCTTGGGGTAACTTGTACTTTTTTGTACTTTTCTAAAGGGTAAGCTAGAGTGGGAAGAAAAGGAAGGAGCAAATGGGACTTGCCACCCCTGGAAACTCTGCCTGGTGACCTGGCAGATTCAGCTTTCTTTGTGAGGTAGTCTGACCCACCTGTTGAGTGTAGTAAATACTTGTGGGTCTCTTTTCAAATACACAATGGAGCACGTCATATGAAATATAATTACATATCTCACAAAATCTAAAAAGGTGTTTTGCCTGACATTTGGCATTTCAGAGCTAGTGATTCTAAGTATTCTCTGCAGGAAGCCATGGAAATGAGTCCTACAGGATTGTCTGTGAACACGATGGCACAGAAAAAAGTTAAACCTGGTCATGCCTAAATAAAAAACCTTACAGAGTGTGTGAGGCTCTCCCCTGACTATGACAGAAGCTCAAGAAATTTCCCCATGAAACTTTACTTTTTAATGTTTACTGTGTTAGAAGAATTTTATTTCTAATTCTATGGTCTTTTAAAATGTCCACTGGGAAAGTGTGAAACTGTCACATTCATATGAAGATAAAGTCACTGAATCCTCAGGGTTACCTGGCTATTTTAGTTTTGGATTGTCAACATCTAGAAGGAGACTCAAGAATATGAGAGATTCTATCTTGCCAGGCCTGCATTTAAATTTGTTTATTTAAAACCCACTGAAAGGACTTGAGGCAACTGACAAATGCATACATTCAGTACTTTAACAGTAGGTGAAGAAATTCAGGCAAAAGACAACTGGAAGTAAAACAATGAAATGAAGATGGAATTTAAGTTAGTACACAAAATGCTACCGTATTTGCATAGTATACTATCTGCATAATGGGTCCCATCCCTGTAACATATATGTGGATAGTAACTGCACCTTTAATCCAAATTTGGAAGGTAAAACTTATCACAAGTTGGTGACATAGAACTATACCACACAGTCAAGGAAAATATAGCTCATGTCTAGTGCTAAAGTCAAAATAAAAAATTCTTTCTAGAGTTCACATTATTCATAAATCCAGCCAAATGTCTCTCATTGTGCCTTGGATAAAATCTGAACACCTTCTGGCCTACAAGGCTCTTTATGACCCGGCCCCTGCTAGCCACTCAGGCTACATTTCGTAGGGTTCTCCTCCATGCTCACTGTGCCCCACACACATAAAAGCCTTGGTTTTTTAACTTGAAGCTCATTTCCACCTCAGGGTCTTTGCACCTGCTGGCCCTGACTGAAGCACTTCTCTTCCTCCTCTCCATGGTGGGCCTTAGCTCAAATGTCACATCCTCAGAAGGGCCACCCCCATCTATCCTGGCCTCTCTGGGCATTCTTCATCTCATCAGCCTATTTTAGTTTCTTTTTAGTCCTTATAACTATCTGAAAATATTTATGTTTACTGGTTTTTTGTTTATCTCCCCCAGAAGAACATAAACTACAAGAGAGCCAGATCTTTTCTGTTTTGTTTACTCCTCTGCCTCTAGCATCTAGAATAATGGCTGGCGTATAGTATAGCAGGTTAATATTTGGTACATTAATTAGCTCATAGTTGAACTGGGTAAAGTTTTTTCAGACTAAGCATTTTTCAAGAATTAGTTTAGGTTCTAAGAGACTCTGGGGTGGTGGTTTGGGTTTTTCCATAACTTTAGTTCCTCTTTAGCTCTTCCCTTTGTTGAACCAAAGTAGTTGAATATTAATTATGTATTAATAGTAGGGTTGTTCTGTCCTGTCAGTATTAAAGTGGAAGTTGACCTAGTAGGGAAAAACGTTGTATAGTTGCCTACTTGTTTGTAGATTAAGACCATCCACTGGTGTCAACTCTTTTAAACTTTGACAGTTTCTTATTTCAGTCATAACTCTTCCACTATATTTTTCCATTCTCTCTTAGAAATTTACCTTTAAAGGTTCTAGGTAAGCCCTCCCATACAGCAACTTACATTGGGATAACTAATTTCTTCACCTAAGAAATCTACATTATTTTTCAAACCTGAGAGGTACAGGGTGGGGGGACAGGGATAGTGATGGGGAGAAATGAAAATCATTAGCAGAAATCCCATGTACCAATGCCATCCTGTTCTCGACCTCTTGTAATGAATAGGGATGTCTCCAGAACACTTACCAACCTCATCCTGGTTCTTGTCCATCCATAATGCCAAGAGAGCTCTCCATAATCCCTTTGAAAGCTGATGGGTCGTGGAATCTGGGAGTAGAAGAGAAACAGAGAGCTGTGATCTGTCCCGCTGCTTCCAGGAAGGACACACAAAGCCTGTGTAATAGTTACCTGTCGTTTGCAGCATCTAGGAAAGGGCTTCCAGGAGCTGGCAATTTACTCTAGCTCTCTGATTGCCTTTAAGGTTCCTAACTTTCTGATTTTTTTTTTTCTGTTCTTCAGATTCTGGAGGGAGCCGACCCCCGATTTTGCCACCAGGAGGAAGACCCACATCTGCCAAACCTTTCTCGCCCCCAAGTGGCCCAGGGAGGTTCCCTGTGCCTTCTCCAGGCCACAGAAGCGGACCTCCAGAACCTCAGAGGAACCGAATGCCTCCCCCGAGGCCCGACGTGGGCGCGAAGCCTGATAACATTCCGCCTCCAGTGCCTAATACTCCAAGACCCGTTCAGTCAAGTCTGCACAACCGGGGGTCCACCCTAGTGCCCGGAGCCCCCAGGCAGCCCAGCCCCGGGCCGACTCCTCCCCCTCTCCCCGGAAACCGAGGGGCTGCTTTCGGGGGAGGCTCCACCCGCCAGACCCCGTCAGGCTCCTCCTCACCCTTCTCCAACCGGCCTCCCCTCCCCCCTACCCCGAGCAGGGCCTTGGATGACAAACCCCCTCCTCCGCCCCCTCCAGTGGGCAGCAGGCCCTCCATCCACAGGGAGGCCGTCCCCCCGCCTCCCCCTCAGAACAGCAAGCCCCCGGTGCCCTCCACCCCGCGGCCTTCCCCCTCCGCGCAGGCCCCGCCCCCGCCCCCCAGCCGGCCAGGCCCTCCCCCAGTGCCCCCAGGGTCCAGTGGCGGGGGCGGCGGCGGCGACGAAATCCCGAGGCTTCCACAGCGGAACCTGTCCCTCTCGTCCTCGTCTTCGTCGTCATCTGCGCCTCCCTTACCTTCACCTGGGCGGTCGGGACCTCTTCCTCCCCCGCCCAGCGAGAGACCCCCTCCTCCAGTGAGGGACCCACCGGGCAGATCAGGTATGGCCAGAGCGCGGTGAGTTGTACCCCTGTGACCCAGCCAGCCCAGAAGTCACTACCAACTGCACACGAAGAGAGCCCAACAAAAGCTTAAGTGAACTCTCGGGCTGCTTTGACCTTGGAAGTGACACATAACCCATATGATTTTCTCTTGGCCTCACGTAACCTCTGAAGAGAGTGGGACCCATACTTCTGTCCACGTTTCAGAAGTGAGGAGACTAAGTAACCAATGAAGTGAAATGGTCCCAAGCGAGTTAATAAAGAACAGGCCACTCACTCACCTTCCATCTCACCACTCTACCTGACATCTCCTGAAAGGGAATTTCTGCTGTCTTAACTGGGAACTAAATACCCATCTCCTGCAGGAGGGCCCATTATTCCAACAAGAAGGGCAGTTATTTAAGAGTGAATGAACTTCCCCTGTACTTCTCTTCATCGGTCAAGTTTTGACACATACTAGAGTCCATTTTGCTGTCTGTTCACATCTCTGACACATAGATCCCTTGGAGAATCAGATAAAGGTATATAATAAGGCCTTCTCTCCATAAAAATGCTCATAAGCTCAAAATTGCCTGCTGTTTCATGGATTGAAGGACCTGCTGAAGCCCATCTGTGTCCCCACCCAGGGCTGAGAAACCTGGATCTAAGGGGAGACCTGCACAGTGTGAAATGAAGTGTGAGGAGTCTCTACTCTCTCTCCTACTTTTAATAGGTGCTTGTTTGTTTTCTGTTTGTTATTGATGGATTCAGAAGAACTATCTAGTTTTGGAATTTAACCTTACCATACCTACAGGATGTCTGGAAATGGGCATTTTTTGCTCTGTGAGAAGCTAACTGACCTTTGACCCCCTGACCTCAGGAACCTAATAAACACTTTTTTAAAATAGTCCTCAAACTTGACCACATACTGGAATCACCTGGGAGCTTTAAAAACCACCATGCCTGGGTTCCTACCCCAGGATTTCTGGTTTCATTGGTCTGGGTTACAAACTGGGCATCAGGATATTTGGAAGCTCCCCAGTGACTGTAATGTGTAACAAAGTGAAAATCACTTCTTCAAACCACTTTGCCAGGGAGAGTCAGCTACAAATATAAAAAGTTGGTAGTCTATTCAGTCTAGACATTGTGGCATCTCATTAAGTATGCTTCAATGAACAAATAAGAACAAGTAGATGAATGAAATGCATCATTTTCTTCTTATCCAACAGGTATGGATTTTCCCACAAAATGGCTGAGGAGCTGTTTGCTTGGTTCTACCAAATGATTTAATCAACAGATTAAATATTCCCCCAAATAGGATAGGCAGTGATATATATCTGTTGTTTCTTTCAATTACATTAAGTCATACCTGTTTATTATACAAAATACATAAAAGTATAATGAAAATAAAAATCATCTATAATTCTGCCACCACCATCATCCAGATATAACATTGTTTATATACCCTTTCAGTCTTTTTTAAATGCATATATATACATGTTTGCAAAATTAGTATCATACTACATATATTGTTTGCTAATTTTCTTTTTATTTAATTTAGCTCATTATTTTCTGATATGATTAACTCTTCTTTTACAACCTGACTTTTAATGGCCACATAATATTAAATCCCACAAAAGTACCTTGGCTTATTTATTAGTCACGTGGTCATACAGGCCATTTCTAGAGTTTTGCTATTGCAGATAATGCAGGGATACATTCTTGTAGCTAAATATTTGTGCACATCTCTGTGTATTTCTTTTGGATGAATTCCTAGGAATGGAATTTCTAGGACAATGGATGTGCATAGTAAACTATGGATTTCATAGGTATTGCCAAATTAGCCTCTAGAAAATTCCCACCAATTTACATTTCCACAAGGAACCTATGAGAAGTCATCAAGGGCCATCTATATTTTGAGAGGTGGCTTGGCTTCATTGTTAGGGGAGTGTTTTAGAATTTGACAGAATGGAGTCAAATCCTATTCTTCCACTCATTAGTGTACTGATTTGGGCTCTTTAACCTTCCAACACCTCTGAGGCCTCACCTGCTGTCCTGATGCTCCTCGGGGCTGTTGTAAGAATTAAATGAGACCAGTGTGTATAGTGGTTATCTTATTTCCCCGCACGTAGTAGCATTCAACAAATGATCGTTTTCATTATTATACTGCCAACGGGAAATAGAAATCTGTTTTTTGTTATGCTTGCCTAGGTTTGGAGCAGAGGGCTGGAAGGTTGGAGAGTAAGGAACATGAACAGTTACTTTAAAAGAGAGAGAGATCAAGTTGATCAGGTTACATAGTACCAGGCCCCATAGTATTGGAAGTCTAGTTTGCATTCAGTGACAGTTATGTGGTGGTACTACCACTGCCATTAAGCCCACAGCGTGTGAGCCACTTCTCCCCCCAGTAAATCTACTCATACTAACTAGGACTCCAGCAGTGAGAAGCAGATGGGGCAATAAATAAACCCTACCAGATTAGGCACTGAAGACTCCTTGAGAGACGAACCAGGGCTGGGCATGCCTCCCACCTCCATCAGAGACCTGAGCCAAGACTTCCAGACAGGAATATCTTTGATGGGTGGGTCATTCACTTTAAGGTCCTCTAGTTGGATTCTGAATCTGTAATTAACAAGACATATTTATATTTATAGCACCATAAGACATTGTGTTTACATAAAGATGTCAGCATGTTGCTAGTGGAACACACCACTGAAGGTCAGGAATAATTACTAAGGCCATTTTGATTTGCATGAGAGATGCTCAAGTTCTTTTTTTCTTTTTAAAAATTTACTCATGACCCAAACAGCCTCTGCATTTGGAGGATGGGAAAAGCAAGATATGTTCCTTCGTACTATCAAAAAGAAGAATTTACTTTGAATTACTTACTAAGAACTTAAAATTTTCTGATTATACCACACCACTGCATTTTTAAAACATGGTTTCAAATACTATATAATACTTTTTATTTGCTTTTTGACTAAGTATTTCTGGCAACAGTGCAGTGAGAAAGGTGTTCTTTCATAGACAGGAAATCAAGTTCCACAGGATAACCAGCCTGCACAGGGTCAGGATACTGCACCAGCATTTATAGCCATGCACATTGATTAGCTGATTGTCACTCCCTCTGTTAATCTGACTCCCCAGAGAGGAAGAACCAAGAAGGAACTCTTACTGTTCTCGGGATAACTAATGTTTGGTTTCCTGATCCCGCTTCTGCCTGGAAATAGATCATATGCATCACAGAAACATGCTTGTATAATTAGCAATAATACTATGCATTTAAAGAACTTAGTCCCTCTGGAGACCTAAAATAAGTTCATAACTATCTTATTTTTAAAACAGCATTTACTTAATAAGTAACATGTCACAGTAATTAGTTCAACAGCTATTTAAAAGGAATTTTAAATGTTTTTTAAAGTATACAGTTGTCAATATAAACAAATGATTACCATTGGCAGCTGCATCACCTCCAATCTCAACCCAAAGCGCCATTTAGCTATCAATGTGCACTTGTTCCACGTATGTGTGTACATTTGTGCATTTCTGTGCTTATATGCGTCTAATCATTTCTTGGCTAAACCTCCTAGGAACTCTCCACCATTTCTCCACATTCCCTAGTAAAAGGGCATGTATCCAGCAGGCACTCAATAATTGCATGTTGATGACCATGATGATAGTAATGTACAGTGTAAGGTATAGCACTAAATGTCATTTTTCTTTTGCTCCAGGCCCTCTCCCACCACCTCCTCCAATGAACAGAAATGGCAGCACATCTCGGGCCCTGCCTGCCACCCCTCAGTTGCCATCCAGGAGTGGAACAGACAGTCCCAGAAGTGGGCCCCGGCCTCCTCTTCCTCCCGACAGGCCTGGCACTGGGGTGCCTCCCCCACCTCCACCATCGACATCAATTAGAAACGGCTTCCAAGACTCTTCGTGTGAAGGTGAGGTGTGGTCCCGGCTCCTTGGAAATGTACAAGCTATAGTAGGGCAGCAGTTGAATGGCAGGTGTGTTTGTATCTGTTTGTATGTTTGCATTAACATTTCTTGTTTGTGTGACCCTCATTGTTATCATACTGCACAGCACTAATCTAAGCACTCTAGGGCCCACCATGATTTCAAATGAAAAATAGTAATCCCCCTTCCTCGACTCCCCAAAAAGGCAGATCATTTTTCTCTGTTCCTTGTTTGAGTCTCATCTTGGTTAACTTTCCAGAGGTTCCAGAATTCTGAAAAGAACCATTTTTGTAGCTAACCTTGTACCTCCCTTTCTGAACAGTTCGTGGTGGTGAGAGGCCCAATGGCCTGCAGATATTGAGCAGCTTATCTCTGCCACTGTTATCAGAGGGTCCTAGTTATTCCTTCCACTGGTGAAGGAATCATTAAGAAAGGCATCCCAAACCTTAGTCCCCAGCTCCTGAGAGGGACTGGCTGGGTCCTAGTCACTCTAGTTCAAGTCACCTGGATCTGTCTTTGGTTTGATATGCAGACCACTATACTTTATCGCTGTGCTAATCAGTGACATTTGTAGCGCTTCCGGCTTTTCTCTAAACTCCTAGACATAAAACCAGAAGCGATCTCTGCCATTCTCTCTGTATTTCATTCTGTGCCTTTCGTTACATAATAAGTCTTCAGAGAAGATGGTCTGTTACACTGAAGATACTGTTTGTTTCTCTCCCTCAGATGAGTGGGAAAGCAGATTCTTCTTCCATCCGATTTCTGATTTGCCACCTCCAGAGCCATATGTACCAACAACCAAAAGTTATCCCAGTAAATTGGCAAGAAATGAAAGCCGGAGTGAGTATTTCTACAAGGGCAATTGGATGCCTTCATACTTGAGTAGCCTGGGTTATACACAACTGAGGGTTGTATAGGAAATCCAGGTCTCTTGCCTGGAGTGGGGCGATTTCAGAGAAATCACTCCTGGATTTGGAACCATATAAATTCTAGTAAACTCCCTTTCTACACTCATTGAGGAAAATGGAGACATCCAGAATGCATATGAGAAATGATTATTTTAATGTGTCATTACAAGCTCAAAATACCTTTAGTTTGCTAGTAGGTTAAATTTTATTACTTTGCTTGTTTGGACAATCTTTCCCCATTTTGATCTTCCTAAGATGGCACAAATTAGAGCCATCTTCTATTCCTACTAGTTCTGAGACTGGCAGAATGTCTAATTATAACAAAAACTCACTGTAACTGCCTTGATCGTTTAAATATAATCATAACTTTACAGAGCATTACATGAAAATTTTAAGTATACCCATAATCTCTCTATATAACATAACAGATATTTTCATCTTACTAGGTTGTCTTCTAATTTTTATCCATCTAATTCTGATTAATTTATATAGTTTAATAATTATAGAGTATGGGTTTTGCTGATGAGATTTATATAACATTGCTGAGTAAACACTTCCCTATTTTATCACATGGTTTTTATTCTACAGAATTCCATCAAGTCAGCATATAATAATTTAGTTTACCATTATTGGACATTTAGATTGTTTTTTTCCTTATAGATGTAATGCTACCGTAAAGAAGTGAATCAGTTTTCCCCTACTGAAAAGAAATACGTGAACAAGAAGAGGAAATAGAAAAACTGATATTTCACAACAATAAATGTATAGAACTAAGGAAGAATTAGCATGAAATATACATATATCACTGATGAGGCCCCATCTTGTAACAGCCTTAGCTTCAGACCAAACTCCCAAGCCAGAAATGAGTGGAGAAAAAGTGTTTGAGCATGTCAAAGAACTGTCACATGATCCTAGCCTTGTCCTCATTGCCCAGCAGAGCTCCTTCATGTACTCTGAGCCTAATGACTCTTTCTTAACACACAGTTCTTAATTTTTGCTTGGTTGGTTCCCAGCCTTAGAGCAGATTAATATCAGCTGAAGTCAAGGTTGGTTAGAAGCAAAATCACTGACTTCGGGGAGAAGAGATAGGTGGCAGTCTTGGGTTAAAGGAGGAGCTAGGAACACAGAGCTCTGCTAGGTATCACAGCACTGGACAATACAGTTGTTTCTGTTGGGTTATTAAGAACAAGACAAATTGTGCTTTGTGCTTCTGTTGAAGAATTCAAAGGATTAGAAAATATTTTAGAAAAATTTCCCTGAAAAAAATGCCAGAAGTAAACAGAATATTGCTGCTTGAAAGGACAAGTTTAATTCCTAGAAAAACTTATTTATGTGGAATACTGCATTCTAGATGATGCCTAATAAAAGAGGCATAACTGTAATAAAATTATCATACAAGAGTTGGTGGTTGAAATTTTTGGTGAAAAAGTCTTCACGTGGGAACAGCATCCTCGAGTTCTCTTCCCCCACCCCACTCTGTGCTATTTGTATATTTACGTCAATAACAGAGCCATCCTCCCCAGCCCCTCTAGATTTTTAATTTAATAGCTGAACACATTCCTTCCCCCCAACTTCCTGTCTTTATGACTGTCCACAGCTTGAGAACTGGAACTAGGCCCTGCTCACTACTGCATCTTCTGAAAGTGGCACAGAGCTTGAAATACAGCAGCATTTAAAAATATTTCTTAGATCGGTAAATTAATTTCCACAGCCCTCCAAAAATGTTTTTGTAGCTTTAAAAAAATATTTCTAGCATTGGGCATGTTTAATATTTTATAATGATAATGGATCATCTCTCTAACACAAATAAAGTACTATGGAGTGGTTTTATCCTGCTTCTGTACCTGCCTCAGCCTCCAGGCCCACTACCTGGTAGGGCACCCAGACAGCCCTGAACAGTGCCTCCTAATTGCAGCTTTGCACAAGGCCAGCCCTTGTTTTGCTCAACATTTGTGGTGTGTCAATTGACAGTCAAGTCTCCATGACAGATAGCTGATTTACATCCAGATGAGTCTTTCCTCAGGTCCCTGCCCAAGAAAAGACCTGGTTGGGATAAAAACAGGAAGAGGCAAGGTAATGGACTGCCACTGTTTTCCTGTAACTCCTCCCCTTGCTCAGAGATTTGTTCTAACTCAGGAATCCCTAAGTGGGCTACTTTGGTTGCTGTCAGGGAAGTGGTGGCCTGCTGAGGAATCCATCAATGCCAGTCCACCTGAGTATCAGAACTGTGGCCTTAGCAGACCTACTCGATTGACTCAAGTCCCTGGAAGACCTACTCACAGCATCTGAGCACCTGGTTTCATGCCTAACACCTGTTAGATCCTCAAAACAAAATGTGCATGGGACAAATGAATTTTTTAATTGTGAATGGATTTTAAACCTAGTTATGGCATGCTGACAGCCCATGAATATGCATAGTTTTTAAAAGAACACTATCAATAGAGTGAAGAGAAAACCCATGAAATGGGATAAAGTATTTGCAAATCATATGTCTGATAAAAGGTTAATATCTGGAATACATAAAGAATTCCTACAATTCAACAACAAAACCCAATTTTTAAAATGGTTGAATACTTGCATAGATATTTCTTGAAATGAGATATACAGCTTGCCAATAAGCACATAAAAAGATGCTCAACATCACTAATCATTAGGAAAACACAAATAAAACTACCACTTTACACCTATTAGGATGGCTGCTATCAAAAAGCATTGTTTAGAAATTAGAAGATACCTAAATGCCCAAAAAGAGGGGAATGATTAGATAAATAAACTACAGTATACTTATATAATAGAATGCAATGTGTCATTAACAATTATATTTGTAAAGAGTAATGACTTTGAAAAATGTCCAAATGGACTATATATGATCCTGTTTTTGGAAGGAAAAAGGGAACTGTTTATATATGGAAAATATACATATAATGTTATTGGTTATCTCTGGGTGGTAAAAGCATTGGTGAATTTTTGTTTTGTTTTTCTCATCCATATTTTCTCAATCTATAATATATATATTATATGTAATGTATAATCACACATACTATGTGAAGAGAAAAAAAGTGACTTTTTAAAAACTTTAAGTTCGCACAAGTACTTGGTAGCCCGTGGTAGGTCATCCTTCTCTAGTAAAATTTGTTCAGATCCTTACTTGCTTCTTCCCCTCAGCTCTCATGCACATGTGCAAGTTATTTACAGCCTTGATCATGGCAGGGGGCGTGTAGTGGGTTCTTCTGCAACCATTCTTAAGTTTTACAGTGAGAACATAAGCTTTCTAACCAAAATTTATATTTTGTCTATTTTTTCATCAAGGTGGATCCAACCGAAGAGAAAGGGGTGCCCCACCCCTTCCTCCTATCCCGAGGTGATCCTTGCCTGCTCTTCTCCACCCAAGCCCAAGAGCTCCTTCTGCTGTTGCTGTCCAAGTCGCACACCCTCCTTCTCTTGTTTTCCCTTGTCCCCTTCATGATGGCAATAGGGAAGAAGGGAGGTGATGTGGGAATGCATGTGTGCAGGGTGTGTATGCAGTAAAGAAATGCACCTCGCTTTTTATATTGTGTATATTCTTAAAGCTATTGCTTGCTTCAGCTATAGCCTGTTGGCTGCTTTGGGGATCAGTATAGGCTTTTGTGGCAAGTAGGCAGCAATGAATTGTGTCCCAGCTTTCAACCCATGAAATTCAAACATTCACTGCTTTTTTGCTACAGACCACGATATTAAGGTCCCTGAGAGCTGTTTGCTTCCATGCCTTTTTTGCATGTTTGGCCTCCTGTTTCCATGAACCACAGACCACCTAAGCAAGTTGCTTATATGAAATGTTTGCAGTTACAGGCTGTCCAATCTTTGGCAGTCTTGGACAGAGCTGTCCAATAGAAATATAATGTGAGCCACATATACAATTTTACAATTTCTAGTAGCCACATTAAAAAGGAAAATAGGTGAAATTAACTTTAATATATTTTATTTAACCGACATCCAAAATATCATTTCAACCTGCAATCAATATAACAATTTTAATGAGATATTTTATATTCTTTTTTTGGTACTAAGTCTTCAAAATCTGGTATGTATTTTACACTTAGAACACATCTCCATTCAGACTTGTCACATTGCAAATGCTCAACAGCCACACATGGTTGGTGGCTTCCATGTTGGACAGCACAGGTCCAGAAGATAGAGGCTAGTGCAAAAACCTCTTGTTTAAAAAACAAAAAAGCAAGATGAGCTTTAGCAATTCAAGAGGTAACTAAAAATAAAGTTAGGACCCAACACCTTGTTTGGCAAACAGCTTTCCTTAGATTTTTCTCCCTTATTTTCCCTCTTCCCTGGAAATCTGTATACAGATGTTGCTTCACAGTACCAAGGTCAGAAATTGATATAATAGGGTTTACAGTCATGTGGAATAAAGCCATTGGAGAGAAACTGAAAGCCAGTTGGGGCTCTGGGGCTTAGAAGCAGCTGCCTTGAGCTCATCTGTCGGTTGGCCTCCTGCCTTATGCATGGGAAGTGGCTTCATTCCTCTCCAGCTCAGCGTGCTCCTTAGGGCAGGAGGCTCATAGGCTCCATAGTTGTGGGGAAAGTCAGGGAAAGGTAGCAAATCAGAAATGTGGAAGAAGGGGACAGTTTTGAGTTGATGGACAAAACTCTAAAAATCTAAATCTGGTGATTATGGGGTTGAGAGAAAGAGACTGCTGCAGGAAATTGGAGGGAACTTGTTTTGAATTTTTCTGGGAGAATCATTTGCCTTGGATCTATGCAAATAAAGCTCCCCCAGAGGACCATAGGAATGAGCCAGCCTTGCCCTTTTTGTATGGTTTTGTTTACAAAACTTTACTGGGACTTTTAAATCTAGCTATACACTTGGAAAAAAAGATTTCCATTTAGATGTTTTATATGGTTAATTATGTTTAAAATTTACCATTACTTATTTTTTTAAAGTTCATGGCTATATATGTATATGTATATCTACCTAAATTTTGTATTATGGTTTCAGTGAATTGTTCATGTATTACTGGGAGATGCTAACAAGAAATCAATCCAAAGAAAAATTTGAAAGAAGCATTCCTATTTATAGAATAAATGTTTCATTTATATAGATGCAAAAGAACTTAGAGTTCTAATAATGGGATGTCTAATAACTTATGAAGTTGCCCATTTGAATCTGTTGTATTTTTATAACTTTCCTTGCCAAAGTCCTGGGCTTATTAAGTACATTAGAGAATTTGGGTTCCCCGCCCACCACCATTAATTTGTCTTTCATACGTTCACTTGGGGGCCTTTACCCAAAGAAAATCAAGAAACATAAAGGTGTAACAAGCTTGGCAAAGTATTTTCAAAAAAAGTTTTTAATCTCTAATATTTTGGTAATATAGCAGCATCATCTTATTTTGAATTCTTTGATCAGATATCAATAGTTGGTAAAAATCCCTATGATAAAGCCTAATGACCCACTTCAGAAAAGATGGAGTTGGGCCTTCCTAGCAAATATGGCAGAGAAAAGTCTGACCCAAAGAAAATGGGTCTGAATTTTGTAAAGTGTAGTAAGTATGGCCAATTTCCTTATATATCCCAATTTTGCAGATACCACCCTAAGTTTGAAGCAGGGTCACAGCTCAAAGTTGCTATTCATCCAGGAGAGAGATGTTTTAAAATGTATTTTTTAAGTGAATATTCCATTAATACATGTACACCCTTTCTTTGAAAGTTAGAAACCTAATCACATCCCAAAGTTTGAATGAGGTTCTATGCTAAAATCGTCAACTATGGCAGATCACAAAAATTAATAGTTACTTCCCTGAAACCAGAGCTTACATATGTTTTTTCCCCATAAAATTTCCAGATAAATGTATTCAAGATGCAATACAGTATCTTAATATTCACATATTTTATAATGAAATGTATTACAGTATTAAAATTCAGTGTTCAGTATTTATTTCAATATGCATTTTATTTAGTAAAAACCAAGAAAAATGTTTAATCCAGTGGTGCCTTACTTGGTGATTTGCAAGAAATTGACTTTTTATGTCTAAGTAGCAGATTATTTGCATATTTGTAAGAACTGTTAGGCCTTTATAGTTTAACTTGTAATACCAATTTTATTATTTTAGTAGCAGAAATGTGATGACTGTTAAAGTGCCCAAAATTTTCCGGCATGAAATTAATTTTTCCCTATTTATAGTCAGGGGCTGTAAAGAAGGAAAATGTTTTTCATACCACTGCATTATGTAAACATGCACATTTTGGTACCTATGTCATCAGGGTAGTTTATATGGTGGGGGTAGGACCTACCCTAGACATCTGTGTCTTTGTAAGTTAGCCAGACAATAAATAAATGCAGAATGATAAGACTGTCATCTGGTGGGTTTTAAGTACTCTCTATACAAATATAAATAAATGAAAAAGCAAGTGTCTGTTTTCTGCTTTATACTCTGGTAAAGAAAAACTCAAAAAAAAAGAAGAAGAAGATCCACAAAGTAAGTAAATATTCAGTGCATCCACTTTCTAATCCCCTTGATTTCCTGAGAACTTGCATTTTAGTCAAAATCTGTAGTCTGCTTACTTGAGGCAAATGCTTCTTCTACTCTGAAGTAAAGGATGGATGGTGGAAGCAATGGAAGATGTAATTACAAAGATTATCACTGACACTGATAAATAAGGAAAGGCCAATGGGAATTTAGGAGGCCTGATAGTTTTTCTGTTTTGGGGGGTTTTTTTGGACAATTACTGTATTTCTAAAATTAAAAAAAAATGATTTGCAAACTGAACTTAAACATTTGTAAAAACTGAGATTCTTAATTTATAGCTTCAATAAATTCAGTACTAAGCTCTACTACAATAACCTTTCTTTCTGGACACAAAAATTCTCTTTTAAAAACTCCATTGATCATTCCCATTGTGATCTCAGAGACACAGTAACCTACTTCAGTGCTTGAGATGGAAAAAAAACAGAGAAAACCTTAAGTTAGTTGTCTTTGACTTTTAAAATCCCTCTCCAATCTCCAGGTTAGTGTAGCTTCCTTCAGTCTTGGTAATCTTGACACTGAAGCATAACTGACTTGACCTTTGCCCCTTTCCTCCTTGGGGATGCCACTGGAGGGCAGGCAGAAGCACAAGATATAATTTCCCCCACCTGGCTTCCTAGACAGGAATTAATTGTAAACATCTCTATTCCTTTCCTAACTTTATCTCTTTTGTTGGCTTTCCAACCTCACTCTTCTCCTGCAACTATTCCCAACAAGCAATTAATTCACTTAGAGAATTTCTCAGGATTCAAAAAAAGGTATCCAGAAGTGAATTCAGGTATACCAGAATTCTGCATTAGGGACACATGCAGTGGGGGAGGTGGTATGCATCTGCTGTTCCTTGTCTCTATGACTACGATGTCCTCTCTTCTCTTGGTCTAACTTACTCCTCAGTTTTCAAAATCTCATCTTTGGCTGACTGCTTGAATATATTTTTCAGGGACTTACTTTACCCGCCTCAACATTACTGAGGGACTTCCCTGGTGGTGCAGTGGTTAAAAATCCACCTGCTGGGCTTCCCTGGTGGCGCAGTGGTTAAGAGTCCGCCTGCCAATGCAGGGGACACGGGTTCGTGCCCTGGTCTGGGAAGATCCCACATGCCGCGGAGCGGCTAGGCCTCTGAGCCATGGCCACTAAGCCTGCGCGTCCAGAGCCTGCGCTCCACAACGGGAGAGGCCACAACAGTGAGAGGCCCGCGTACCGCAAAAAAAAAAAAAGAATCCACTTGCCAATGCAGGGGACACAGGTTCAATCCCTGGTCCGGGAAGATCCCACATGCCACGGAGCAAATAAGCCTGTGTGCCACAACTACTGAGCCTGCGCTCTAGAGCCCACAAGCCACAATTACTGAGCCCATGCCCCACAGCTACTGAAGCCCACATGCCTAGAGCCCATGCTCTGCAACAAGGGAAGCCACCGCAATGAGAAGCCCATGCACCACAACAAAGAGTAGCCCCCACTTGCCGCAACTAGAGAAAGCCCACACGCAGCAACAAAGACCCAACGCAGCCAAAAATAAATTTAAAGAAGAAAAAAAAATTACTGAGACTTCTTCATGCTGCTGTCCACGGCTATTTGTTAGTCCATGCTATGACTATATCACATTTATTCATTTCACTGTTGATGGAAATTTCAGGTTGTTTTCAGTCTTTTTATTTATTACAAATAATGCTGTTATAAATAATTGTATACTTGTCTCCTGGTGTACACGTGCAAGAATTTTGCTAGTGTCTATAAGTGTGTAGGAATGGAATTGATGGGTCAACTTTAATAGGTGATGCACTGATTTCTACCATGCTGCAGCATATGTGACATCCTCTTGCTCCATGTCTTTATGAACACTTGATTATCGGCAAGGTTTTTAGAGAAGTTTCTTTAGCATTTCTCTTTTTTTTTATAAATTTATTTATTTTTATTTTTGGCTGTGTCAGGTCTTCATTGCTGCACGCGGGCTTTCTCTAGTTGTGGTGAGCAGGGGCTACTCTTCGTTGTGGTGCGTGGGCTTCTCATTGCAGTGGCTTCTCTTGTTGGGGAGCGTGGGCTCTAGTAGTTGTGGCACATGGGCTCAGCAGTTGTGGCGCACAGGCTTAGTTGCTCTGTGGCATGTGGGATCTTCCCGGACCAGGGCTCGAACCCGTGTCCCCTGCATTGGCAGGCAGATTCTTAACCACTGTGCCACCAGGAAAGTCCCTCTTTAGCATTTCTTGTAAAGCTGGTTTGGTGGTGCTGAATTCTCTTAGCTTTTGCTAGTCTGTAAAGCTTTTGATTTTCTCCATAAAATCTGAATGAGAGCCTCGCTGGGTAGAGTATTCTTGGTTGCAGGTTTTTCCCTTTCATCACTTTAAATATATTGTTCTACTCCCTTCTGGCCTGTGGCGTTTCTACTGAAAAATCAGCTGATAACCTTACAGGGATTCCCTTGTATGTTATTTGTTGCTTTCCCCTTGTTGCTTTTAATATTTTCTCTGTCTTTAATTTTTGTCAATTTGATTAATATGTGTCTCAGTGTGTTCCTCCTTGGGTTTATTCTGTATGGGCCTCTCTGTGCTTCCTGGATTTGCGTGAGTGTTTCCTTTCCCATATTAGTGAAGTTTTCGGCTATTATCTCTTCAATATTTTCTCAGGCCCTCTCTCTCTGTCTTCTTCTTCTGGGACCCCTCTAATGCGAATGTTGGTACATTTAATGTTGTCCCAGAGTTCTCTTGGACTGTTCTCACTTCTTTTCATTCTTTTTTTCTTTATTCTGTTCCACAGCAGTGATTTCTACCAATCTGTCTTCCAACTCACTTATTCGTTGTTCTGCCTCATTTATTCTGCTTGATTCCTTCTAGTGTGTTTTTCATTTCAGTTACTGTATTGCTCATCTCTGTTGCTCATTCTTTAAAGCTTCTAGCTCTTTATGAAACATGTCTTGTATCTTCTCAGTTGGTGCCTCCATTCTTTTTCTGAGACCTTGGATCATATCTACTATAATTACTCTGAATTCTTTTTCAGGTAGATTGCTTATCTCCACTTCACTTAGTTGTTCTTCTGGGGTTTTATCTTGTTCCTTCATCTGGAACATATTTCTCTGCTGTCTCATTTTGTCTAACTTTCTGTGTTTGTGGTCTCTCTTCCTCAGGCTGCAGGATTGTAATTCTTCTTGGTTCTGGTGTCTGTCCCCTGGTGGGTGAAGTTGGTCCAGGGGCTTGTGCAGGCTTGCTGGTGGGAGGGACTGGTGCCTGCCCACTGGTGGGTGGAGGTGGGTCTTGTCGCTCTGGTGGGCAGAGCCATGTCAGGCAGCTGTTAACTCAGGATGACTTTAGGCAGTCTATCTGCTGATGGGTGGGGCTGTGTTCCCACCCTGCTGGTTGTTTGGCCTGAGGTGTACCAGCACTGGAGCCTGCAGGCTGTTGGGTGGAGCCAGGTCTCAGTGCTAAAATGGCAACCTCTGGGAGAGCTCACACCAATGAGTATTCCCTGGGGCGTCCGCCACCAGTGTCCTTGCCCCCCCAGTGAGCTACAGTTGACCCCCACCTCCCCGGGAGACCCTCCAAGACTTGCAGGTAGGTCTGCCCCAGGCTCCTACGGTATCACGGCTTTGCCTTGGGTCCCAGTGCACATGAAACCTTGTGTGTGCTCTCCAGGAGTGGAATCTGTTTCCCCCCCTGTCCTGTGGATCTCCTGCACTCAAACCAAGCCAGCCTTCAAAGCCAAATGCTCTAGGGGCTCCTCCTCCTGATGCCAGACCCCCAGGCTAGGGAGCTTGACATGGGGCTCAGAACTCTCATGCCTGTGGGAGAACCTCTGTGATATAATTATTTTACAGTTTGTGGGTCACCCACCCAGCAGGTATGGGTTTTGATTATATTGCAAAAGCACCCCTCCTACTGTCTCCTTGTGGCTTCTTCTTTGTCTTTGAAAAGAATATCTTTTTTGGTAGGTTTGAATCTTTTTTGTTAATGGTTGTTCAGCAGTCAGTTGTGATTTTGGTGTTTTCATGAGAGAAGGTGAGCTCAAGTCCTTCTACCCACCATTGTGTCTCCAACTCTGATAGTTTTTTAAATTATCTGCTCTGTGTTTGTATACATACCTTACTATAGTATAATGGTTAAGAGATTAGGAATACCTGCTTTCATCTCTTCCTTCAAGTCACTTAATTGCTCTAAGCCTCAATTTCCTTATCTAGAAAGTGAGAAACTATCTTATATTAATAAGTGCATTAAATGAGATAATGTAATCAGTGCTTAGAATAATGATTTATTCTAAGCATTCAGTAAGTGATGGCCACTATTAGTAGAAATAAATATTTATATAATGATCCCAAATTAACTGGAACCAAACTGACCAGAAGGGGATGAACTAGTGTACTATTTATTTTTGGCTGAGTTGGGTCTTCGTTGCTGTGTGCGGGCTTTCTCTAGTTGCGGCGAGCAGGGGCTACTCTTCGTTGGAGAGCACAGGCTTCTCGTTGCAGTGGCTTCTCTTGTTGCAGAGCAGGGCTCTAGGTGCACAGGTTTCAGTAGTTGTGGCACGTGGGCTCAGTCATTGTGGCACACGGGCTTGGTTGCTCCACGGCATGTGGGATCTTCCTGGACCAGGGATCGAACCCATGTCCCCTGCATTGGCAGGCGGATTCTTAACCACTGCACCACCAAGGAAGTCCCTAACTAGTGTACTTTTAAAGGAAAGGGGCAATATCAGAAAAAATATCTGTATCAGAAATGTAAAGCAAACTCTAGACAGAGATCACTTGATGTGCTATCAGTCCCTCACACCTCACAGGCCTGGGAAATGAAAATTCCTATTGCTTCAGTAATCAAAGAAACTATTAGATTCAATTTGAAATCATAGAAATTAAGACCTGGAATCAATCTCATATATAGGGCAGCCTTAGACTTTACGATCCACAGTGGAACACTTTTGAAAGTGGAAGGGCATGCTAATCATAGTCACCTTGGTACAACTGGTATAAATCAGGGCTGCCTTGGCAAACTGGGCCATGTGGTCACCCCACTCAGAGGTCATCAACTCCAGTCCTCTGATCTTACAGATGTGTAATTTAAGACCCCAAGTCACATACTACCGATGGCTAAGCAGCATAACTCTGCACCACACCACACTCCCTCCTTTATAATCCTTCCTCCCTCTAGCTAAAGTCTCTGTTTCATGTGTCTTTCACATTTGCTGGAAAGAAAGGTCAAATGACAAGTTAGAGTCAGAGAATGAACCCTGGACACACAAACTTGGATCTGAATCCTAGCTCTGCCACTTGCTCCCTGGAAGGCCACCGACAAGTTACTTTAGTCCTGAGATCTAGTTTTCCTCC